GAGGCGGAAATAATGGTTACTACAATTCCTCCCTTGCTGTCACGTTGTCTTTTTGCCTCTTTTACTTTCTTTTTTTGTGTTGTTGACTGAAGTGTAACTTTATGGGGTTGCTACTTGTTACAGTACCCTGTGTATTTTGCTTATGAGGATGACAACATTCATGCTGTGTTAGCTGATATAAAGAAAAATGATGCCACTGGCCAACCTGCTACTGCAACTAATGGCGGGTGAGTATCAATATGTGAATATAGCTTCATTGTTTGAACCAAATCTTGCTAAGTTGCTTGACAGTTGCGTTTTTTACATGATTTTTACTACTTGATTCATTGGTCTCTACGCCCTAGATATGGCACACTGAGTTGCAGTTTTCCCTGTTTGAATCCAATCATGCAAAGTTTATTGGCTGTCAGGTTGAGTTACATCGAGTGTTCTAACTCGTTTAGTTGGTCTCCATGCACCAGATGTGTATGGCATGGTCAATTGCTGATAGTATCATTGCTGCTATATCTTGGTCCTCTTAGTACTATTTGTTACTTTGCTGAATTATGTTCCAATCTATTGATTTTGGATTTGCTTTTTTCTCTCTTGTGTCAATGCTGATGTTCTCATTTGTTTCTTTTCACGTGACATTGCAGATACAAGTTTGTTGTTTCAGCTCCGGAGCCAAAGAAAGTCGCATCTCCTACAATTACAAATATTCAGGTTTTTATTCAACCTTTTCAGTGTAGGCGGTGATTCGAACCATTATAAAACATATTGTAATACTACATGGTTAATAATCTTGATCTTGGTTTCTGATGTTTTAGTGTAGAGAGTATTCAAGACCTATAATAGTTTTAGGATCTAAAAAGCTTTCAGAAAAGCTTCTTTGGAATTAAAGATATATATTATTTTGATCTGGCTTGATTGTCGATAGATAGTTAGAGGCGTGATATGTCCCGAAATGCTACTTACTTGTATTGTGTAATATCAAAGGCTCTCTATGCTAATGCTCAAGAATTTTATCTATTTTCCATTTTCCTCTTCTTCTTTTTTTGTCTAATATTTCCCTGTGTGAATATTATTGAACCTATTTTACCAACCTCACTCATTTCTACTATTCTGAAGAACTTGAATCACTAGTTTAACCACTATTCTGTATCAATGGTTTGCCTGCAGGGATGGTTGGCGGGAAAGAAGATGGATGATGATGCTAGTCAATTACCCACCATTGCTATAGTGGCATCATATGACACTTTTGGGGCTGCTCCTGTATGTATTTTTTCTTGCTGCACCTTCAAGATCACTTGGTTTGTATTTATGTATGTGTTGCAATTTGCAAATATAACTGTAGGCATTGTCAGTGGGAAGTGATAGTAATGGAAGTGGTGTTGTGGCTCTCCTTGAAGTAGCTAGGTTGTTTTCTCTCCTCTATTCTAATCCAAAGACAAGAGGACATTACAATCTACTCTTTGGACTGACATCTGGTGGGCCATACAACTACAATGGAACTCGTAAGGTGATAGACTTTGTTTGTAAGGTTCACTTTGTGCTGACAGATTGTCACATTTTAGTTAGTCTTTCCTGTTTATTGTCATGTTTTTGTAACTTTGAATCTGCATGTTCCAGTGGCTTCGCAGCCTTGATCAACGTATGCGTGAAAGCATTGACTATGCTATCTGCTTGAATAGTATTGGCTCATGGGAAAAGATTTGTGGATTCATGTGTCCAAGCCTCCAGAAAATGTGTATAAAGCAAATTTTCGAAGTTAGTAATTTTCACAGCAGAGTAGGTGGCTATACAGAGATGCATTGACTTGCAATTTATGTTTTGATGGTTTTGTTGGTGGATTTTGGTGTAGGATTTTTCTAGCGTGGCAGAAGAGTTGGGCTTCACTGTTAATCTAAAGCACAAGAAAATAAATATTTCAAATCCTCGAGTAAGTGCTACCTTACATATATGTTCAATCGTTAGTTTATAATCGGTTTTATTTATCGGTTTTATTTCACATTTCTTCTGTATTCGATTTCATTATAGATGCGACATTAAACAGTTTTTCCTTAACCCCCCCCCCCTCCCTTTTTCCTTCCTTCCGTAATCTCAACAATTGAACATATGTGCATAGCTGCATATACCTTTGTCTGTCCCAGTTAGCAACTTAGCAAGGTGCCCCACCGGCCGCATGGGGAGGAGGTGGGGTTTGGGGCCTCTCTCTCACACACACACTCACACTCTCCATGCTTCTTTTTTGTTATCCTTTTTTACTTGGTTCTTGAAAGGAATATGTTAATGACTCATGGTTCATCTACTGTCGCCTGTTACTAATGTCTTGGCCTTTAAAGTTTTCTGCTTGATATCTTGTAGAAGTATTCTCTATTCTGCTACTAGTTTATTCTTTCATTTCTTCTTCCTTAAGTTGTCTCGAAGTTGGTTATCAAAGCTACTCGCTGTAGGTAGCTTGGGAGCATGAACAGTTTTCTAGGCTGAGAGTTACTGCTGCTGCCACCCTCTCTGAACTCTCCACTGCACCTGAGTTGCTAGAAAGGACGGGGGGCCTTGTTGACAGCAGGTTCATCTTTTGACCTGAAAGCGAGATTATTATTCCTCTTATAGCATTTTTCTGAGAGCTTGATTCTGCAGGCATTTTGCTGATGAAACTGCAGTTGTCAGGAGTGTGAAGTTAATTGCTGAGAGTCTTGCGGTAGGGTTAATTTATTTACATTGCCTAGTGATCACAGGAACATTGTAAGAACAGATTGGCATGTGCATTAATTTTATGTTGTATCATTATGCTGTGAAGCTTCACTGTTTCTTAACCTTTGAAGTAAATCACCAGCTCTTCTTTCTGCAGAGGCATATTTACAGACATCAAGGAAAAACATTCGGGTATTCGCAGACAACAGTAGTTTGGCTGTAAATCTTTCTTATATTCAATCATGGTTAAATGTGTTGTCACAAACACCTCGGGTGGCACCATTTCTGTCAAAAGATGATTCTTTTGTTGCTGCACTGAAAAAGGTATTGTTGTGATACGTTTGCCTGCTATGTTTTCTAGCCTTTTTACATAATGGGATAGTTTTGCTGGTAGGTTAGTTGAGGGTAAGTTTGCACCAACTTTAGGCTGTCTATGGCTTGGTTTTTGGTTGATTACGGACTGTATGTGCTGTGGGCAATGGGCTAAGCGCTGATAACTAATGTTGTGTAGTGTTTTAGGAGGAATGTCATTTTTCCAAGAAAAAGTTAGTGAAGGGGGCTAAATCCTCAATTCCTTTGAAACTGAGAGTTGACAACAAAGCATCCTGGTTTTATCACTTTTTTCTACTCACCCTAGTGGTATACTTGTTTACAGGAATTAGAAGATCACACTGACCAGGTTGATCTGCAACGAGATGTGCTAGATGGCATGTTCACTTTCTATGATTCAACTAGGGCAATGCTAAATGTATATCAGGTATTTGAAGATACTTTTGATTCATTGTGTCGTACAAGTTGTCTCTTTCTCTTCTTTTTTAAGTGGCTGGAGAGAACTCAATGGATGGATCTTTGTGGATAGAGGACTGGTTTAAATATTTTCAATCATCGTGCACCCTGATTGTTGTGTATGCTTCCTTTTTTTTTTGTGCTCCATTTTCTCAGGTTTTTTACCTGCCCTGCTTTATGTCTAAGTACATGTTATATATGCTTTTAGCTTGGGAAATAATCAAATTATTTAATTTTACAGGTTGCCAGTGTCACATTCGACCTTCTGTTGCTGTTAGTATTGGGTTCATATTTAATTTTGCTCTTCAGTTTCTTGGTCATCACAACTAGGGTATCATCTCTTACCTAACATCACTTTGCAAAATTTTATACACAGCGTTGTTTATGTGTAGTCATTGTTGGTGATGCTGTTAATCAGGGCCTTGACGATCTAATCAGCTTATTTCGACGTCCTCCCTCACGAAAAGTGAAGACCGCATAGTGATCATAGGCCAGATTTTCCATCAAGGTTTGGCCATGTATTGCAATTTCCAGTAGAACTTTAGGATGAGTCTCTAGCGAACTGCATAACGTTGATTGGTTGAGAGGTTGGGAACAGCAAGATGTATGATCTGTGTTCTGCGAAAATGAGGACTCCTAGGCTCAAGTAAAATTTTGATGTTTATTTTGAAAATATTGTTTGCTGCGTTTTGGCAGATCAAGGCATAATTGTAAGTGGGTAAACGATGAAATGGAATTTAGCAGCATCGCGTCATTTTAAAGAATGAAACGTCGCTGCAATACCATTGCTATGGTCAGTTCTAGTAGTGAATAAGGCTGGAAAGCATAATATTGTTTTTCATGTTTTAGCGATTGCCACGTCAAAAACCATTAACGCTAACATAGGCGAACTGTTAGAATTGGTTTTTCGGGGGAAAGAAACCGTTAAAGATTTTGTTTGAAGAGCGCCTGGAATTTCCTGTACCTTGATCCTTGTTCAGCAAATTTTGTGATAGTGATTTTAGTTGAATCTCTTGGGATGATCAACTTTGCATTCCCATTGTTGCGGACTGATATCTCTCGGAGCGTTAGGCATGGGTATAACTATTAAAGTATCACTTGTCCAAAACTGCATTCGTCCTCAAAAATTGAATAATTGATTCGCAATAAATCACGTGTCGATATGAAGTTTAGTCTCGCTATAGTAATTAGAGAATATGTAGATCCGAAGATTCCTGAGTTAAGGCTGTTAAATTCATGGAAAGGCAAGAAATCTCTGGCGAACTCCTGCCTTCAGTGACCCTGGTACTTCCGGCAATTGTAGGGAGAACTGATGACCCCTAGCACTCCTTTTTTCGAAAGGGGAAAAAACGTTTTTCACGTGCTTTATTAGACTAAGTAACTTTTATGTCATCTCGCTAGTCACTACCGTACTAGAATATTAAAAAAATGAATACAATTTTTCAAAAAGTTATTTCTACCATAAAAGAAAAAAATATTAAGAGTTTGTTTAGAATGACTGATAAATAACCTTTCATTTATAGAATGAAATAAATATATAGAATGAATTTTGTCTTGACTTGCATACTCAGGGAATTGAATAAAAACAGCTCAAGTTTTCATCCCAACAGTTTCCTATCATGCACCAAATTTCAACCGGAAACGAGTGCACAAACAAGGTAAGATTTAAATCACTAAATTCCTCTTGGCGGTGGCATGGCCGAGTGTTCAGGCAAGGCATGACACTACCAAGTGACTGATGATCGTGCTAGTTGCTAGTGGTTTCTAAATGCACGAGGGATCAACATACATTCTGATTGACTAAAGTTCATTGCCCAAACAACTTGGGTCTCGTCATTTCTTTGTATGAGGCATGTCACCACTACAGTTGATGAGGCCGCTTATTTTGCATTAACAAGTAGCATAGTCGTAAGGCATGTCACCAATAAATTCAACTTATGTATATATACTTCTGTAATTTTTTTTTTTAAAAAAATACAATACGCCACGTCTGTCTCAAAATATGGCGACATTCAGAAAACTAGCAAAGACGCACGCGGACATCAGCAGCTTGTACAACCAATATTACAAATTGAGATACTTTACTGACATTCAAAGGCTTGTACATAATGATTAAAACCTGGCCTAAAAATAACAGAGCAGATGTGAAGTGCCAAAAACAACGCCTCTAGCAAGTTGATGGTTTAACACCTCTTAAAAGTGATTATTGGTGAGCATTCAGCAGCGCTCTATAGACCATATCAATGAATTGGTTGTCCTAGCAGTAGCGCACAGCACAGTTAGGATACACGAGAATGGACGAGAAGAAAAACGGACAACAATCTACAACATATATAACAGATAGACCGACTCATACAATTTTGCTTGCAAATGGTATTATAGGCAGAATATCGAACAGTAACAAAAAGCAGACTAACCTGAACAAGCACTAGAAGCGCATCTCGAACCTTTTCCCTGGTAATCACTGGCCCATAGTTTGAACGAGGAACGGAAGCAGGAGTAAGAGATGGCGGAGGATTTGGAGGTGGAAATGGTTGTAGCAGGGGAGTACCAAGTGGGCGTTGTATGCTAACAGCAGACTGAAGTGGAGGGGCCGCTGGATTGGATGCAGGCGCAGGAGGGACCATCAGCGTTGAAGAGGAAGGGGGAGGAACAAAAAAGAAGATGGCTTCACAAGATTTGTGGCTAGGTTGTTGCTACCAGCTTCAGGAGTGTTGTGGAGGGACATTAGAGGTGTAGTTGCTGATAGAGCAGGTATCTGCAAGGTTGGCACAGTGGATGTAGCAGCATTCGTGGGCACAGAAAGAGAAGGAACCGTATGAGAAGATTGGTAAGACTGTCCAGAGATTGGAGCACTAGTCAAATTCCCAACGGTCAAAGCTGTCTGCAACATTGTAGGAGAAAAATCTTATCCTCATCAGAACTAAGTTCCAAAGGTTCACTTTACAATCAGAAACTCTGTTAACACCACAAAGTAGAATGTTTACATATGAGAAAGGCCACAAACTCACAACACATCTAATGAAATACAGGCTAGAAAAAAGCGAAGATAGATCCATCACAAATTATCAGAAGCAAATAATTTTGTTTCTAAAGTACGTACACTGAAGAAGTTCACAAAGGAAGGATCATCAGGAACATCAACCGGATTGGAAGTAGAAGATGGTGACGGCTCCAGGGGTCCATCCATAACTGCCATAGTTGGTACTGCCTCCAGTTCCTCAAACTCACTGCAAGGAAATAAAAGCAGAGGCTTACTTCTCAAAGTCTAAGACAAGTAAATGTAGACAAGCTGTCAACTGCAGTGATAACCTACCAGACAAGAAAAAAGTAGAGGGGTTGGAATATGAATGAATGAAATAACAGATCTCATACATTTTTCCCAAAGCTAAGAAATACTCCCACCGGTCCCAATATAAGGTCCTCTTAACTAATTTGTAGAGTCCAAAAAAGTAGTTGTTTGTAATTAATTCGTAAAGAACTTGTAACACTATTTCAAAAACAACATGCCCTAGGAAAAATAAACAAGCACCTTCAATAGAACATTAGGGCTACAGTTAATATGGTTACACAATCAGTACCACACGAGAACCTGGATATGATATTCTCAAGAGCATGGATATAAATATGGCATAATGAAAGAATTCTATGGGAAAGAAATAAGGAAAATAGAATACCATGAATTAAATCACATCAACCTTCCTTAAGGATGGATTGTGATAAGGAACAGATAGAATTAAACGAAATGTAAAAGAAAGAATTTTATTAATTTATTACCTCTTTGTCGAAGACAACTTTGACTTTTGAGGCACCTTCGAATAGGCGTTAAGAATCCTGAAAATCAACTGAACAAAACTGAATAATACGGTCGGACAAATGTTGTGACAATACTCAATTAATAATGTTACCAATTCCAAATAATTTGAAGCCCACGGCGACATTGGCATCAAATGCCATCAAACTACAACATCATTTCCTCAAACTTCTTTCTTTCCACGCTATCCCTTTTATTAAATAGTAACTATTCTGAGCACCCAACCCCACCCCCCCACCCCCCCCCCCCAAAAAAAAGGAAGGTATCAAATTTAATTAAAGTAAAGTAGTTAGTCAGTTGTGCTTTGGTCGAAAAAACATACATCCAATCAGCAAGAGGATGAAGGGAGAGATTATACTTGTTAGATTTGAAAATAGGAACCTCTCAATTAACATGGAAGGTTCACATCCTCACATGTTTCATGACCTAAATATGGGGGCATGGACGTACGAAAGAATAATGAAGACAGACTCAGAAGTAACCCATTGATTATTTATACATCACATTAAAGTGCCTGCAAGATAGCCGGTGCACGCGAAATTGCAAACCCAGTAAGAATAATACCTGTTAAAAAGATTTGCAACTCTTCACATTCACGTGCATTATAAAACCAGATGCCATTCACTTCTTGAGTAGCATTTCTATAAAGCAGATATGGAATCTGAACTTCATACTCAAAATCTCCAAGCAGATTCTCCACCAAATTTTCTGCTTACGCCAACACAATTATATGCTAGTTCAAACATAGACGAGACTTAATGCAAGATACACAAAAAGGATACTAGAAATTTCCTTTCCCATGTCTAGCACCAACATGATTATGTGATAAAATTATTGAAGCAAGTCATAGAAGGCAATTTGGCGTTCATATGTTCACTAATTTGCTATACTCACAATATTGAGTGTAAGAAGCCAGCCGTGGAGTGCCAATATCCAATACCTAAGCCCCAATCCTAAAATTTTAAGGCAGAAGCACACCTAATAACTACAAAAACATATTATATCATATACAAGAAATACTAAATATACGGTATACTAAATATAAGACAAATCCTTCTGAAAAACATTGTTCATGTGCAGGAGAGCTGAGCAAACATCACTGCTGCATTAACTTTAATAGTGAATCTACCGGAAGGAAGACTAGGAAGCAAACCGCAGAGTAGGTGCAGGCCATCCCCACAATCCACTTCTCTTTAAGATAAAGGTTTCATAAATTCATATCAACGCTAAGACAAGTCATGAGCCAGGTTGAATTGCCAATAAGCCACGAAAATTTATAATTTTGGATTCTCAAGATTGTAATAGACCAACTGACGGCAGTAAACACAAGGGAGGTGGACTCACTAACCAGTATTGCGACGATTCATCACTATAAACTGAAATCGTGGCTGAGTATTCCTGCAGCAAAATAGAGCAACAAAGTTAGGCTTGATTAACATCAGCAGATAAATAGAAAACAAAGATTAAGAAAATCCAACATAAAAGCCCTGAGCTTCCGAAACATAGAATCATTCGGAACTTATTGATCGTTGAGCCTAAAAACCGTTTGATAAAGTTAACAGACCAGGTATTCAATTTATGTCACACCAATTTTATATCCTCTGTACATGGATTTCTCAACAGATTCCCAACTAACCATTAATCCACTTGCAACACCGTTTTGGACACAGTAATGTAAAAAGAAACTAACCTCTTGACAACGAAAAGAGATCCCTCAACGTCCTTGCGGCTCTGCAAACCAGTCATTCGAAAAGCAGAGAGAGAGGATGAGAAAGCAATCAGAAAAGTGCAAAACAGAAAAATGAAAAGTGGATGAATGGCAAACCCATTGGCTAAGGTCGATGTTGAATTCGTAGAAGGTGACATGAGCGGCGGTGATGAGAATTTCCTCGACGAAGGGATCGATTCGTTGAAGAACAGTAAGGTTGAGATGCCGGGTGCTCTGCTGGTCCAGATTGGGCATGAGCTTGCCGTTCTGAGACATTGTGGATGATCTCTGCAACGCAAACCCTAGAATTTGGGGCCAATGGGAAGCGTAAGGAGACAGGGACGGGCGAGGGGCGACGCAGGCAGGTGAACCAGTTATTGTCCCTTAATTAAATAGAGAAAAGTTGATACGTAAGGAGCC